AATGAGGGTGGGGTGAGGGGACGGGCGAGGGGACCGGGGGCTTCGAGGGGAGGAGGGAGATGGGAAAGCGCCATCTGCAGAAAGAGAGGGGAGGCAGAAGTTAGCAAAAGCTGCGATTGATCCAGGGAAGACATTCCCAAGCTGGTGCATCTAAAGTAGAGATGGTTTAGACCAGTGTTTCTCAACGTTAGGAACTTTAAGATGGGTGGACTTCAAGTCCCAGAATTCTCCAGCCAGCATGCTGGCTGGGGAATCCTGGGAATTGAAGTCCACCCATCTTAAAGCATGGTGGCTGGGGAATTCTGGGAATTGAAGTCCACCCATCTTAAAGCATGGTGGCTGGGGAATCCTGGGAGTTGAAGTCCACATATCTTAAACTTGCAGAGGTTGAGAAGCACTGGTTTAGACTATTTTTAAGAAAGAGAAATTGTTCAAACTATATTTAAAGGCTAAAGACCTGGCTGTTCCCCCAGGCCTCGGGGCTCGGAAGTTAAACTCATGCTGTTTTTATTATAGACTGGAATTTGCTGTTTGCAACCTCGGACATCTATCTGGATTGCTTAATTGCTGCTTTTAACTTTGCACACTGCCCAGTGTCACTGCTGTGAGATGAAAAGCATTTAAGTAAGAAAATAAATGCATCAACCCACAGCTTGTGGGCAATATGTGCCCCCTACCACCCTCAGACGTGGCTTTCTGGTCCTTCAAATGTTGGGGTCCCGTTATCCACCATTCTTGATTTATTACATTTACCCCACACTTTTTTCCTTGGGAAGTCAAGGGGATACATATGGGGGACTCCCCACGTTTTGATCTGACAAAAAACAACCCTGCCAGGTAGGCTGGTTTGAGAGAGAACCAAGTCCCCGTGAGAGAGAACCAAGTCCCCGTAAACCTCAGTCCAACAGAAATGAAAATATTCAATTTAGTGATGACTAAACAGGAAGTCACGGGAACCACGTGCCATCTGAGCCGCTGCTCAGGAAAGCTTATACCATTTAATCCAATTTGTGCTACTAGGCTGCTTCTAACTGAGGGGAAATAAGAATTAAATTAAATGATAATTAAATGATAATTAAATTAGTTCAATAACCAAGTCGGGGCTGTTTTACAAAGGCGGCTGAGAAGTTCCCATATGAGCTGCATTTAAAACTAACCCATTTCACCTCAATTAAACTAACAGATCAGTGTTTCTCAACCTTGGCGATCTTAAAGGCTGCTGGCTGGGGAATTCTGGGAGTTGAAGTCCAGATATCTTCAAGTCACCAAGGTTGAGAAACACTGTAATAGATCAAAAGAACAACTTTTGCCTCCCTCTGACCCAGCCCAGCCTCCTTTTTTGGTTGATTCGCACAACACACTCACGTTGGTTTGGGGCTGGTTTGGTTTGGTTGTGTGAATGCAGCCGGGGTGGTTAGTTTTAGGGGGCAAATTCCCCCTCCCCGGCTCCCTGCCCGCCACCCCCCCCCAGCAGCCCTTCTGCCACTCACCCCATTTCTGGGTTTTTGTGCCCCGGCTTTCCCCGAGCCGCGGGACTCTGGGTGATTCCTGTATCCAGAGGGGTGGCAAGGCGGTCCTGTCACCCGCCGAGGCTAGGTCAATCAGGAGATCCGTGGCAGCATCACCCTTGCACGGCTCCACTTCCAGGGCAGGGGTGGGGTCTCTTCTGGGGGACGGCTTCCTGCTAGCTGGCCCCTCCATGGCCCCCTCCTGAGAGGGGGTTGGCAACTCTCGGCCCAAGCCGAGGGAGGCGAGCAAGGCAGAGCCCCTGAGCAGGGCCCGCTGGATGAATCGGGGGCCGCTCGGCCTTCCCGGCGTTGGATCCTCGGATTCTGCAGAGTCGACGGAAACGTTGCCTGGAAGGGCGAGACAGCGAGAAACAGTAAAGCGCCAACTTGGCAAACGTTTACACCCAGATTGGAGAGTGTCATTGGCCTATGGACTGGGGTCTGTTTAATTTCCCTGAAGTATTTAACCTCGCTGTTCAGGGTGAAGGGCTTACAGAATAACAAGATCAGGCTGCTAAAAAAGCCACAGCATAAAAGGAAAGGCGAAGGGGAGGGAAAAGGGAAAAAAAAAAAAGATGGTCACCTCCATCATTTCAAATTGAGCAGCGCTCATTTTTGTCTTGGAATGGAGTGGAGTTGAAGTCCACACCTCTTGAAGTTGCCAAGGTTGAGAAACACTGGTTTAGCCTGATCAAGAATGTGGGGTACATCCATGCCATCTGAACCTGATTGCTTTTTAACTGGGGTGGCGAGGATGAATCAGGATCGACACCAAATCAGAATTCTTCATTAAATAATATTCCAAAGTAATTATAATGCAACAAGTCAGGAGGAGGAGGAAGAGGCTCACCGTTCTGGCTGGACTGGGGAGGGGGCTGCGAAAGAACAGGGGACCCGCCCGGTTCTATGTACCACGTGGTCTCTTCTGGCCGCGATCTTCTCCTGGGGGAGGAAAAAGGACCGGGTGGCAATTCAGAAACAGGTCACGGAATCCACCCAATGGGTTTTATTATACCGTTCGTTTTATGCTGACCCTGGCGTGAGCGGTTAACCTAATTAAATATCTCAGTCTGACCAGTTTGACTTACTTTCAGATTCAAATGACTGAATGGGGTGGTGACACATTTGAAATATCAATAAAAATAAATAAAATTTCCTTAAGCGTGGCCAGATGTTGTCACATTATATGCAAGACACGCAGCTGTTGGATTGAACTGTTTACCTAAATGGATAATCGAGATCGGACTTATTTATTTTATTTTTTTTCAAATGTATATACGCTGCCCATCTCGCCATACAAGATTTATGTATGTCAGGTGTTTTATGGACTGGGGGTTGACCCCAATAATGATTCTTCTTCTTCCAGCAACACAGAGGGAAAATATTCTGTTTTTCTCCAACTAGCATAATGTGTCTGTTCTGATTTGGCAGCAGGGAACACAGTTAAAGGAGATTTTCCTTAATTTCCTACCCAATCTTTTCCCATGGCAATAAAATGGGGATTGGGCCTGAAATGGCCTCTGTGCATATGCAGAGGGCACTCTGGACTTGAATCTCTTAACAAGAAAGCCAACCTCAGCTGCTCCCTGTTCTTATTCGGCCACTCGGTCAAAAATCTCTCCTGCAGATCTGGAGTCGCTCATTTGGTTTATTAATATTTTTATTTCCTGAACGCTTACCTCGTCATAGTCTTCCTTACCTGTAGGAGCATTTATTTATTTATGTGCTTATTTTTGTTGCCGCAGCTAATATTGATCCAATTTATATCCTAGGTGGCATCTCCTTAACTGACCTTGAAAATGCTACACAGGAGCAGACTTGATTAAGAGGTGGATGGGAGACCACCAGAAAATCCCAGGTAAAAAAATATACACTGGAAGAAAGTGACAAAGTCAAATTGCTTCCGTATTATCTCCAAGGCAACAACAAATGTTTCCTTAGAGTCACTAGAAGTATACTTCTCAGCCTCAGCCACTTGAAGATGTGTGGACTTCAACTCCCAGAATTCCCCAGCCAGCCATGCTGGCTGGGGAATTCTGGGAGTTGAAGTCCACACATCTTCAAGTGACTGAGGTTGAAAAACACTGCTTTAACTAACAAGAAAGGGATCACTTTACTGCTGTGGGGAAAAAGAGTCACAAGATGGGGTCAGGATACCCCCCTCCTCCCCCTAAAAAGAGCCCCAATCCAATCCCGTAATTGGGAGAAGGTGACTGCACCAACCGATGGCGATGGGGGTGGGATAGATGGTCTCTACCTGCCATTCTGTATACTGCTCTCCCACATTTTAGGGGAGCCAGGGGTCTTGGTGTGGCCGTTCCAGGACTCATCTCCCCGGCGGGGCGGCTGGCGGTTCCAGCTCGGATCGTTCTCACTCGGTTCCACTGCAAGGGGGATTAAAAAACGGGCAAGCATTGTCGTACCACATTTAACAGGCTTAGGATTGCCCGCTTCTTCCGTTTAACCCTGCTTTGCAACCCGCAGACAGGCAGCTGAGCACCGTCTCTCCCGAATCGGGGCCCGGCAGCCAGTGCGCCCTCATTGATCGAGGTATAAAAGCCCCCCCCCCAGAATATCTCTGGAGAGGTGCAGGTAAGAGGCGTGAACTGGGGGCATTCGGGTTTCAATGCCTCCTGAATGGCTTCCCCCATGGGAGTGAGTTCTCACATAGCTAAGAAGGCTGAAAGTTCTCAAAACAATACGGGGGTGCAAAAGGCCCCCCACCCGCTTCCCAGCCCCCTCCTCAAGAGCTGCCCGAAGGGTGCATCAACGGGGGCCTTCTTTGCAAGGAAATCACTAGCTGGAATTCTTGGGGACCTTTTCACCATCCAAGCTGGTTGAGATGTGTTTTGGGGGTTGACTCAGCTCTACGGAGGGAAATCCCCGCCACTCACACTGGATGATTTATTATTTTATTATTTATTAAATTTATATGCCGCCCATCTCCCCCAGAGGGTGACCCTGGGCGGCTCACAATTAAAATCCAAGCGTTAAAACCAGTAAAAATATAAATATCCCTATTGAATTAGCTAAAAAAATAATACTATATAAAAGGACTATGTACAATTCAAGATGCGGGGGGGAGAGTCAATTACCCCACCAGCCCATTCTAACCAGTATCCAATTGCCAACTCACACTGGATAGCTCGGAATCGCGGGAACGTTGGAGAGCCACCAGCTCCCGCGTCAAAGATATCCTTCCTTTTGTCCAACCCCGGGGACGCCTGAACTGTGATACGGTGCTTGAAATCTGAAAGAAGGAAGAAGAAAAAGGTTGAAAACCACATTTCAGCTGATCAGGGTCAGGCCAGACCCAGCAGAGGCATTCGGTCACGTTAGCCCTGGTTAGGAACTTTTGTCATTCTGAAAAAGAGAAGCTGTTTAAAAAACTATTAAAAGGAGCTAAACAGAATGGTTGTGGAAGTTTAAAGCATGGTGTAAAAATATTTAAGTAGCAGTTAGGGGTCAGGGAAAAAAAAGAGGGGGCAGTTTGAAGCCTTTTTCTTACAGACGCAAAAAAAAATTCTCTCTGTTTTTAAAATGTAGTTATTTTTTATTTTCATTTTCCTTAATTGTTATTTTAAATCTCCTCTTTTGAATTCTCACTTCAGCCCTCGCCTCTTGTTAAAACTCATGCAACGGCAATGATGATGATATTAATTTTTAAAAAATCAGGAACAGCATAGATGAGTTAGGAGTTACATTGCTAGGGATTTATTTTTTCTTTAGATTTATTATAGCAGCCCAACTTGGACGGACCCTGACTGGCATAGTACAACCTGCCCCCCACAAAAAAAAATCCATAAAAACAGATAAAACCTAAAACCACACAGAGAGCCCAGACCAGTGTTTCTCAACCTTGGCAGCTTTAGGCTGTGTGGACTTCAACTCCTAGAATTCCCCAGCCAACCATGCTGGCTGGGGAATTCTGGGAATTGAAGTCCACACAGCCTAAAGCTGCCAAGGTTGAGAAACACTGGCCCAGACTAAAATGATCTAAAAATGACACAAATCCAACAAAACGGGGGGCCCAAAAATACAACAATACATTAATTGTAATGTAATTGTATGTAGTTATATACATGTATTGTCCTCTTTTCCCCCTTTGTTTGTTTTTTTCCTGATGCTTTTCCTTAATGAGTAAAAATAAAAAAGTTATTGCAAAAAAACAGAGGCACTTTCGTAACTTTGTGAGAACCCAACTGATTTTCTGTCGATCGTGGAGGGGAATTTGACAAATGCAGGCAGGCAATGTGTTTGGTTAAGGGTGCGCTACAAATGGGATAAAAACCAGAAAAAGTAAATAAATTGGTCTACAAATGCCGCCTTTCCTGTCCCAAACTTTGGACTTGCAGCTTCTTGTTAGTGTGATAACTCTGGAGTCCCTTTATCCTTAAGTATCCACCTGAAGGATGAAGCAGAGATGCCCATTTGATTGATTGACTGATTGATTGATTGGTTGATTATGTATCATCTAGTTGTTGATGCTTAGTGACCACATAGTAACCAAAGAAGGGTTGTTTTCTGTACAAATGCTCCAATTATGCTCCTTCTCTGGAAGAAGAAGAAGAAGAAGAAGAAGAAGAAGAAGAAGAAGAAGAAGAAGAAGAAG